ACGTTAAGTTTTATCGAAATCAATCTGTAACATTGAAGGATGTCTTCTGCAGTAGAGTTAGTGTGTAAGAGTCTGAGTTTTCAAGGTCAGGTTAGGACTTTATAAAATGTACCATCTAAATTATATATCACACATCTAATAAAGATCAGCAAACTTGTATTTTTTGTTAGTAAACAGATTCTTTTGTTTTGGTATATAATTGAAGAAACTTCTGTACCTCAGCACTACTTTCTCAATGTGTATTATATATAGATATTTAAAAACAGATTAAGGTATTTTTCCAACACAGATTTCTGGACAAGAAGTCTAGTTGTTGTATGCTGATTAATAGTTGATGTAAATGTTGCTAAGAAAAAGATTTTAATCTCCTTTGCCTATCTTCCTTATGATTCTAGTAAACCTCTTCCTATGGAGAGATCAGATCTGTGTTAGAGTTTTCTAGCAGTCATCACCTTCCTCTCGTAATTGGTTATGATGCAAAAGCATACAACATAGAGATATAAGAAAGACAGTCCCAGACAAGATTATCTTTGAAATTTTTTATGCTTATTTTAAATCAAGATAATAAATCTACTTATGTCAGTTTCAGATGTGCAGAAATTCTGGATCTCACTATCTTCAGGTTAAACTGCAGTGTGATGGTGTGGAGAGCACGTGGATGGACAACACAAAGAAAGTGGTCTACAACAAAAGTTTTATTGTTGTTCGTGCAAGTATACAATATTCTCAGTGATCCCAACTCCGATACATACAACTCGCGTAACATATAATTATATTGGAAAGAGAGTGCAACAGTACTTCGCAACAATTTAAAACTGTACTTAACCTATCTTAACCTAATCTATATACTAAATAAGACATTAGAATGAAGGGAAAATATTAATATTAAGAATAGGAAAAACAAGGGAAGATTGCTGGTGGGGTACCCGTGTTTCTTCTTTTTCTTCAGAGTCCACTCACATCGATGAAAATGAACTACCGTGATCTTCCTTCCTTCCCGTGATGTCTCACTCTCGTTGTCCTCGAATCGCTCCCTTCTCCTTTGTTACGGCGACCAGGATCTCCTCGCACTGTCCGTCCTCTCCCAACGCTAGCTCCAAAAGTCCCCTTCACCCTTTCTCTCCTTGCCTCGGGGCCTACTTCCACACCCTTGTTTTTCGTTGTAGTTCTCAGAAATGTTTTACCACCAGCAGGGAAACAGGACCGTTAGAAAGTTCGAGAAAGTGTTAAACAAAAGATCGAGGAAACTTAATCATAGGCTTAATACAAAATACAAATATAAAAAAAAAACAACTGGTGTATCACCACAATGGACTGGATCTGTTTGATAAACCTTCCCTGACTGATCACATATATTGTATTCATTTTAGCTTTGCATCTAACTTAAAATGGTTCATTTCACAACCCAAAAGAATTGCTTGGACACTTTTTAAAAAGTGTCTCTTCCAGACTGGGTTGCTTTTTGAGCCAATTTGATACTGTGTCAGACAATGAGTTGGTTGTTGAGCTTGTGAAATAAGAAAAGTATAGGACTTGAAATATCCTAAGTACTTAAATGGGCGTGAACTTCTCATAAGTAGACAGTATTAACTATCAACTTAAGTGAAGTTCATCCATTGTTTAGTTCCTTGGTGGAACAGGGAGTTGAGTTCTCTGAGGTCATCAATTCTAAAGTCACTATGCTAAGCACAGTGGAGAGTGGAAAGTCTATCATAATGCTCTAACAGAGTAGAAAAAGCTCCTCTTAGAGATAAAAAGATCTTCATGAAAGGATTTTTGCTTTAAGATTTCTAATCTTCCTACCAGTTTCAGACTTTTGAAGTTGTTTCAGGATTTTGTAGCTAAAAACTACAAAATCCTGCTCTGAATTGAGTTCAGTTCTTCACAGTAAACCTTTGGCATCTGCTTGGAAAACTATTTTCTGTTTATGGAAGGCTCATTTTCCAGACTTTAGAACTGACTATTCAAGGAGGACCACTATAAGCTAAAGTGCATTGAGGACCTCTATAAGCAAAATGCAAAGCAAAAGTACTTGGTCATTTCTAAACAAAACACTTTTGATCATTCAGCTTTACTGAAAGACATGATAATGGAATATATCTTTTTGATGAGTTCTGTGAAGGTCCCATAGTGTGTAGATCTATGGAACAAACAAACACAGAAACAAGTTGGCTTAACAATCAACAGGGATTTTAATCTTTACTTTTGATGATTCACAATACACAATCATTGTACAATCTAAGATGTGATTCACCTTTCTTTTTCCTCTCTCCTCTCCCTCTCCAAGGTTCTTCTGCATATGACAATTGAGAACCAGGTAGCAAATCACCTACTTACATCTATTTCTATCCTGACAACTTGTTTCATCGACGAAGATAATGATAACCAATTGTACTTAAATGCCAATCTCACAATCTGCATGCATAAAGAAAAAAACAAAGAAGCATGAGAAACAGAGTAAGAAAAACGCTATAGGGGAAGTCATGGTTCAAGATATATATTGCATGTTACGGTTAATAACTCATCTGAACATAACAAAAAAAATTAATGTCCTCAGATGAAACTTCCTTCTAATTTCTATGCCCTTGGTATGTGCTTATCCAATTTTCAAGTACAGTAGGTGATTGGTTAATGAACAGATCGGATAACAAACACTTTTGCAAAAGATTTTTATGTTCGGACAATGAACACATGATCGGATAATGAACACCCCACAGAACAAACACAAGAAGAAGCGATGTAAAATAATGAATACCGATTGGTCTTCCCTTGTCTTTGGGCAACAATTCAAAACTTTTTGGAGTGCAGGAGACGTCAACATTGATGCTCAAGCCAGTATATACCAATCGGATAGTATTCCTCTGAACTTTGAAACTCTCCCTTGTAATTCCAGTCTTTTATTTTTCTAACAAAACAATTCTTTTATGTATTTGTGAGACTGTCGGGTAGGCACTCGTTAAGTTTTGCATCTGTTTTTTTTTCTTTTCAAAAGGTGAGAGTATAATAGCAAAGGTAGAAAGTGGGCAGAAGATGCCTAATGTTGCTGGGCAGTATGGCGTGAACAGGTCTACAGTAGGCCGCAGTTCAATCTTATTTAAGAAAAATACTGTATAATCAAGAAGACTCAAGCAGCTAAAGGAGTAACAAAAATCACATGTGAGAAATAAAGAACATCGAAGAGTTCATAATGGAACCTGAAACTGATCTGATGACAGAAGAACACCAAGAAACTCGGCGAGATATGTTTTCTTCTGAAAAAAAGGATTAATGCCAATATCTGTTATTAAAGATCCTTTGAAGAAGTGTGAAGATGTCAGAACAACAGTTTTAGAATGGCATCCAAACCAGGTTTAGGCTTGGGGATTTCTACAATTGCAATGCTATTAATTACTTACGAAAAATCCTGAAGAAAAGAGAAAAGCAATTGACATTAGACAGATTCTTTAACCTTTCAAACGGAAAAAACATGACTAATAAAAATGCAAGACTGTGTATGTATGTATTTTTATTATTACATATGAATAAACGTAGTAAGAAAGTATATAGTTTTTATTTTTGGGGTCTCCAGAACAAATTAATTAAATTCCCATTAAAATCTATGGTAAATAGATAATCGGTTAACAAACAATTCGGATAGCAAACAAAGTCTTGGAATGGATTATGTTCATTAACCGATCACCCACTGTATTACCTTATTCCAATCATTAGCCTTGTAACTATCATTGTATGAAATAAAACCCACAGAAAAGCAAACCATGGAAATCTAAAATAAACAAAACAGGTGGTTACACACATTTATTATAATGTGCCATTTGATAAATCTCATTTGGTTTTCTGCTGATATGCATGATATAATGAGGGGCTATTGTATAGATCAACGGTGGGCAACCCCCGGCCCGCGGGCCAGCTACGGCCCGCGAAAAGTTTCTATCCGGCCCGCGAGATGTTTAGAAGAAATTATAAATAAATATTTTTTGATGTAATTCGTCTAGTTTAAATTGAATATTATTTTCTGAAGTGTTGTGGCAGCAATGACAGGAAAAAATAAGGGAGTCTTTCCTTATTCAAACAAAAAATGGGAGAACAGAATTTTTCTAAATTATTTATCTCTATCGCATCATCCATCAAGAAAATCTATGTGCAAAAGCTATGCAATTAGAAACTGTAATGTCTGTCGTATCCAACTACATAGTGCTGTTTTTATTGTGTTTAAAGTCACTTAGATTTTACAAATAGGTGAGCCGTTTACAGCCCGGCACACGCATTTGTAAAATCTAAGTGACTCATACAACATGGAATTCATATAAAACGGAATAATCAACAGCGTTATAGGGGGGTCGACTGTAGTAATTAATTTTTTATTTATTTATTTCATATTTGCAGACTAAAAATTAAGAGGTCATAAGGTGTCAATTAACTACTATGGCCCGCGGAAAAAACGTAAAATTTATTCTGGCCCATGTTATAAAAAAGGTTGCCCACCCTTGGTATAGATATACATTAAGATTTATACCTTATTGTTTTAACATACATTTAATGTCAGATTCAATAAAACTAATTCACTAATTGAGAGCTATTTACTTAAGTCTGTTATTGTTATCAGTTCAGGCAAGTCCAAAAAATTATTACAATAAGCATATTCTATTATGCTTAAAGCTATTAGTACAAAAAACTTTAAATCCACTACAACTAATCTTAAAACACTTCTTAAAAGCTTATTACACAATTATTTTAATTGAAGAAGCCTTAAAAAAATATAAATTATTGAAAAATATAAAAGATGATTGTTTTTATTCAAGGAATCAGAAAGTCCAAAAGGTAAAAAATGTTTTTAATAAATCTTATTCTTTAATTTTGTAACACTGATATTGTGATTTCCTTGAAAACTAAACAGATTTAAAACTTATCACCAATTTCTTATCTATTATTTTAAAATGATTGAATTTACAGTTTTAAACAAGTATACTTTTTAAAATAATAGAAATTCTGAGTTTTCTCACCTTTTTGCCATTGCTAATTTTACCATTTAAAATTTGCTCCTGTTTGATAGAATCCTCTATTGTGTCATGTGGCATTTCCATAATGATATTTTCATCATTTAGATCCAATGTTAAAATATTAGGTTCAGGAAGAGAAGTCATTTCCTACAAAATATAGTTTATAATTGTTTTGATAAATTTTTAAGACAGATAAAATTTTCATTTTGACTTCCCTAAACGGCATGCAACACGTATAAGATATATACAGCGGGTGACAAACGAACGTTTTTGAACTATCTCGCAGTTCTTCCTTGGGTCAACTAGCTTAAGAATGCGAAATAGTTCGAAAACATTTGTCACCTGCTGTACATATCTTATAAACGTTATGCACCGGTAACAGGTTTAGGGAAGTCAGGATTTTACTCCGATGCTGAAATTAGAGTGAGCTTTGTAAAATTTTCATTATTAAGTAGTATCTTTTATTCTAAATCTTAATATAAAACATTTTTATTAAAAAAATGAAACAATGAAATATAAGATTTTCTTAAAAAAACATGATTGAAATCATTAATGCATCCTGTAATTTTGAACTGTTTTGTTAGGCAGCTCAAATTTATAGTAAAGTACCAAATATACAAACAAAACAAATTATTATTATTATTATTATTATTATTGTTAAGAAAAGAATATCAGATAAATTGCAATTTCATATCAAACATCACTACTGATGAGTTCATATTTAGTTAAATTCTAAAAGAAAAAATGCCAAAAGGACAAAACAAATTGTAGTGTACAGCTTCAATAGGTGGATATCTGAATATGGATGTTTTACAACAGACTTAAAAAGCTCTTATTTGCTAACCATGCAGGAAAAAATTTTTGCGAGAAAAAGATTTCAGCTTGATCATCACATGGCAACTGGAATATGTTGTGTGTAGAAATAAAGTAAGTTTTATTTGACTGAAAGTGGTCTTAGTGAAAAGGAAAATACATTTAATCAAGAAATGCGTGATGCACTAATAACTGCAAATATACATTGGAGAAAATTGAATGTACCTGCTTTTGAGAATTTTCTACAAATGTTTACAAATAAGCAAATTTACAAAAAAAATAAAATAAAAAATACCTGCCAATTGCATATGCATCACCTATAGATAAGATGTGATTTAAAATTGGCAATTTGTTGATTTCGTCAGCAGTGGATGAAATGACAAACTCCACTGGATGATTTATTTCCACTCCTTACTTTCTGTCCTGTAACCCATTGGATAAAGTAAACAATGGCCAGATTTGATAATAATTCCTTATGAGTATTGTGGCCAGAAAGTGGAATGATACAAAGTTTTTACCACTAACTGATGCAGCTCTATATACAGTGGTACCTCAGGATACAAAATTAATTCATTCTGAAACTGAGGTTGTATCATGAAAATGTCGTAAGGTGAATAATTTTTTCCCATATGATTACATGTAAAACCAAATAATCCATTCCAGCATGAAAAAAACACTCAAATTAAAGCTAAGTAGTACATAAAAAAAAACTATAGTAAGGAAAACACTGAAAAATGCATTTTGTAGTTTTAAATGTATAAATAACCATAATAGAATAACAACTGATAAAAAAAAATGTAATTTTATTTGCACTTTACCTTTGAGGATAGACGACGGTAGAGGTGTAAACTAGTGGCGGAGGAGAGGGAGAAGGAAAATGATACTAAAATTTAACTTACATAACACAATGTAACAATAACTTAAAAATAACACTAATTTTTTTATGTTTTCTGTTTTATATATTTTTTAAAAATTTTTTATTCACTGCTTTTTGCTTCTTTCCTTCACTTCCACCAGCACTTTCACTGGATAGAGGTCACTTGGTAAAATATCTATCCAAAGAAGTTTGGCTTTGCCTACTTTTTAAAATGTTTCTAAAATGACTTAGGCAAATGTTATTACTCCAAGCTGCAATATGGCCAGTGTGAACCTTTTCGGGATGTTTCTTTTCAATAAAATCAGTCACTTTCTGATAATACCTCGAGATTTCCTTTATCGAGCGAGATCCTTCCACGACAAAGCAAACACGCGGACTGAGACCAATGAACAGAAGTGAATAAAAAATGGTGCTGCGAACTAATGTAACATCGTATGGTGAGTTTTTGTTTGTATCGTGGAGCAAAAAGATGTTCGAATTTCATGTTGTATCTTGAAAATTTCGTATGCTGGGCGTTCGTATCCTTAGGTACCACTGTTATACCACTGTTATATAGGTAAACAATTTAATTTTAAAGAATAAAATGTATTTTAAGCATCTTTGAAGGTTCAACAATGTCAAAACTTGATACCAGGAGTGCTTTTACTGCCAGAACCTATGTTAATGTGTTGAAAATGAAGATTGAAAATGCAAATTCTATAACAATTATTTCAACAGTATAAAAGAAGTAATTCAAAGTCTTAATAGAGATTCGCTAGCTGCATTGCCAATTGTCAGTATACTTTTAAAAAAAGAAAATTAGTTCAGTATCTGGAATATATCATGTATCATTTTTATGTTTCAGTCCTGAATATCAAGAAACTGGAAACTTTGATTCCTCTGACAAAAACAATGCAATACTAAAAAATGTCCAAGATCATTATCTCAAGTCCCAACTCAGACTGATAGAAAAGCTAAGGAAGAACTAAAACGAAAGCTTGAACAAATCCAGGATTTGATGTCTTATTTAAGACATGCCATTAAAAAAAAATGAATTGCAGTTTCCTCTTGCAGTACAGTGACTCAGAAAATGTTGCCAACTTCAAGTATACACTTACAACATTTGCAATATTGAGAGAGCTTTCTCTCATGAGTCAATACAAACTCACTCTGAATGAAATTGGCACATTACTCTTGAACATATGAACTGTTAGACTTGATGTTGCTTTTCGGAGATTAGTGAAAACTGGTTGCACTTGTGTAAATGGTTATGAAACAAAGAATACACAAAGATTACACTGTCTTGACTCACAGAAGGTCGGTACTCAAAAGGGGAGAGTGAAACGAGATCACCATCTCTAACAGATCCCCAAGGGGTCAACAGCACCACCAACCTTTTATTATGTAATGGAAAAATATTTACAAAACATTACTGCGACACAATGCATTTTATGTAATGATGTCATATAACATTTAACAACAATTTCAATGATTGATTCCAACACAGCAAAGTAGTGTTTTAATGTTTATATTGTATTTGTAAACAATGTTCTGCTAAACATCATTAAATTGTGCATAAAATTTTATATAAAAGAATTGAAATAAAAAGGCTGCATATTACTTTGCATATTTTGTGAGCATATTACTATATAGTTATTAGGGTTTTAAGTGCATGTAAATTCACATTCTAACAACAATTAATGTATATTAAACAGCATAATTATTCTTGAAATATCTAATGTGCTATGTTTAATTAATATACTTATCAGATGCTATTATTAATATAAAATAAAAGCAGATTTCTAATTTCAAATTATGCTGATAAATATAAAAATAACCAATACTACAATTCACTATATTTTATATTAATAAATTAAATAAAAATAATCCCATACATCACAGTTCCATATGACATCTTTTTCCCATTCACCACTAAGTAAATCTTGATTTTCTACAGGGAGATTTGAATACCAACTACCATCATCATTTTTTAAAAATGCTAAAATAGAAGAATTTTAAATTAAAAAAATTATATTAACTATATACATCAGCATTAATTTTTTTGTAACAGATTATATGAACCTTAAAGTCAGAATGCAACAGTAGCCAAATTCAAATGAAATGATAGTAGAAATATACCAAAATTCATTACATTACAACACACAGACACATCATTGAAGAACAATTTCATCACAAATATTACAAATCAGGAAATGGCAAATGCAATCTGGCAATTAATTCAAACTCTCTCATTCTGATCAGTTTGAATTAATTGCCAGATCACATTTACCATTTTCTGACTTGTAACAATTGCGATGAAACTCTTTTTTTAATGGGCATATGCCCATTAAAAAAGAGTTTCATCGCAATTGTTCCTTGTGTTGTAATGTTATAATGAATTTTTTATTGTTTCATTACCATTCTGCATGCAGAATTTGATTACTATTGCACATTGGCTTTAAGGTGTGTTAATTTTTGGCAATAGTGTGTGTATTTCAAAAATTTATACTTCATATAAGACAACCACCACAAAAAACTGGATAAACAAAAAATTTATATACTCACATACGACACCAAATATTGTATACGGAGGTAAAGGTACTGTCTTTCGGCATTAAATTTATTCACTTGAATTAAATATATGCAAATATTTTTGACATTTCAAAATGTCATCCTCAAGCAAAGAAAGAAAAGACAATTTAAACCAAATTCCAGTAAAAAAAAAACATGTAATATTTTCTAATAAAAAAGCATTTTCAATGGCTTTCAGCTATCACCGTCAAGTTAAACCCCAGCATTTAAAAATAGAGCATAACATCAAAAGTCAATCATTAAATGGTGGTGAGGCAACATCTGATTGATTGTTGCAGCAGTAATATAAAAAATTAAAATGGTACTTCAAATAAAGATCTCCAAGCCTGGTGTATGATGTTAGTATCCCTAAAATTAATCAACATTTTTCTTATAAGCTTTATGTATTTCTAATATTTCAAGGTGTTTGATGAATGGAAGCTCTCTGGGCAGATGTAGCTGATGATGACGACGACAGCTGAAAGTTGTTGAAAATGTCTGTTCATTGGTAAATGTTACATGTTTTTTAGTAGAATCTGATTTAATTGTGTGTTATGTTTCATAATTTTTGTAATTAAACTGCCACAGCAAATTTTATCTTTATATTAGAATTTTTTTTACATCAGTTTAAAAAAAAATTAAGATTAAAAAATTTAATAATAAACTGAAGTCAAATTATTACAGTAAGCAAGCTTGCCAGATTTTCATAATGTCAAATCGAGATAGGTAACAGAAGCACCCTTCATCTCCGCCATTACAATTCAACATAAATTTCATGTAAAACTCAATTCAGTAAATAATTACGAGAAAAACAATATACAGTGGTGCCTCGTATAACGTACTTAATCTGTTCCAGGTGCACGTCCGTTAAGTGAAAAGTCTTATACAAAATGCATTTTCCCATAGAAATACATGTTAAAACATATAATTCGTTCCGCAGCATAAAATAACCATACCATAAAAAAATAAAAATGGAGCAGTCACCAATTATGCCGGATAGTCAGAGGTTGTGAGGAGGAGGTGGAGGAACACTTTTTTTACACATTCATACAGATACAGACTTTTTACAAATTGCAGCAGGTCTCTTTTTATTGTTTTTTAATTGGAGTCAGATTCAGGAGAGGCTACCGGAGCTTTGCAGGGTCAACTCTTCTTGTTCCATCGTTTGGTTTTTGGTAGCTTGCTTCTTGAAAAACATGTCCAAGGTGGTCTGTTTCTCTAATGACTGGCAAGGGTGTCATTGTAGAGATCATTGATCCTGTTGGCCTCAGCTCTGTTTGGATAATGAGTGTTGGTAAACTCCTGAACCTCTCCCCATTTGACAAGGAAGTTTTTGTCAACTTTCACTCCTTCTGATGATTTCTTGCTTTGTTTCAATTGAAATCACCTTTCTGTTTTTCTAGAAGCCATGATTTGCACAACACTTGAATAAATGTAAATACCCTACACTGAGGTGATGTACTGTATGTAATAAACAAGAGAGCAAGCCAAATCCCAATGGGAGCTCTGTACTTCAGATATACTAATAATATATTCTAATAATACTAATATATTATAAAAATAGCAGATTATCACTGGCAACGGCAAAAGAGTGGAAACATCATTTGCACTTGTTCGCAGAAAGTCTGTCGTTCGCAGCGTCCATTATACGAGGCACCACTGTACATGCATAAAGAATAGTTATCCACTAACTCAAGGCACATGGATCCTGTCTTTGCTCTTATTTGAAGGGGTGAAAGGCAGCAGAAATGCATTGGATTATAAAGGGAGAACTGACAGTAGTGTGCTGCCATGTTGATGCTGGACGTAAAGGCCAAGCCATGCCACAGTCATCATTTTTGGCTTTGGATGCTTCCAAAAGTTCCCCCTCTATTTCCAATTAATTTACTTAAATTTTTGGTACCTTTCCTTAACTGGGACAAAATTACAAACCAGCTGGAATGGTGGGACATCACTCTGAAACCAGGACATCTGGCAAGCCTAACTGTAAGTTGATAGTAATAGTGTTAGAATATAATTTTAATAAAATTTTTATAGGCAGTTAGAAAAATGTCACTATTAATGTAAATCATGTTTATTTTATTTATCCAATTTCTAATATTATGCAGTTGCTGTTCACATTATTATTAAGAGATAACCAATAATTCCTTTGAGTTAAAATTTTTGCTTTATCTTGCTTATTACAGCTATTTAAAATTATTTTTTTAATATTCTATTTATATTTGTTTAAGTGAAAAATTGAGATAATATACAGTAACCAGACATTCCACTTTATGTAAAATAGTCCTATTTTCATGTCTTTTGTCTTGCTGTCCACAAAGGTTGGTAAGGCTGCATTGCTGTTTCGGCCTTAACACTAGAAGTATTATAATGAAAACATTTACTTCACATTAATAGTCATATTTCTTTCAATGGTATGATAAACTTTTACTAACTTAGATACTATGGTTATTAGGAGTAGCTAGTGCATAGTAACAGTTGGAATAAGAAAGACAATTGTCCACGAATGCTTAAATACTGAATGATTTTGTAAGATTAAGAATTGTGACACTCATAGTGGTATGTTCAACAAGATTCTGCTCTAGAAGACCAGAAATCTGTTCACTGTAGCCAATTTTTATAAAATAGGCTACCTCATTGTAGTACTAGTTTATTAAATATAAACTTAATAGTTAAAAATGTTAGTTTTGCTAAATAAACTTTTGTAAATATTTCCTTTTAAGATAATTAAATTAAGCTTATATAACAACAAATCTTAATAAATTGATAATGAGTTATTACTATATGATTAGTTTAAGGTTATCAAACAATGTAACTATTTGGTTATAGTGCTCAATTATAACTAAGTAATTATCTCAGTCTATAGTTTATTATTATTTCTCTTATCTCTATGAAATATACTTCACTTGTAAATAACCCATTTATAACATACTTTTTTGGGCCCAATATGGTGTGTTATTTTTCTTCATGTTCTGTAATACCTAAAGAAGAAATTTTTCAAAATTGAATATATTATTAATAATTTCTACGAGCTAAACTTTATTTTTTCAAAGACTAATGAGAGATAAGAATATTAAATATCAAGTAGTAATATTTTTCAAATAAAACTGGCTTGAAATACAATCATTTAAGTTGAAATATAGAGTGAATTATTGAAAACATTTTAATATATTTCAATGAAATTGATAGCTTTATTTTATAATATGCCAGATTAACAATGAAAGCAGTTTATTGAACTTTCATGTTGACATACACAAACTAAATTTTGAGTCATGATATTCTGTAACTTAACTACAGCATACTTGTATAGAAAAAAAAATTATTCAAAGCACACATATTTAGTGTTAATGATATTTCACATAAATCCTAAAATATTAAAATATTTTTAAAAAAATCAATACTTTTAATTGTAAGTTTAGTATTGCAATACCCCGAATATTTTGAGCAGTATAGCATGTTTGAAGCTAAAAGAATAACATCAACAATTCATTTGAAAAATGATATATTTCATTCAATATATCAATTACAGTAGAGTTTCCAACTCCCCTAGCTTACTGGGACACTACCAGACTTAGAAAATTCTTTTTAAATTCTCAGACTCCTAAATTAAGCCTATTCATTCTCTATTTAATAAACATGATGATCAACTTTTGACATCATGCTAACAGATTAAAAGATAACACTAAAACAAGCATTTTGATATTGCTGAGAATAAAAAACATCAAGTTGCTCATATTGTTTTACTTCTTGAATAGAAAACTCCCAGAATCAATTCTTACTTGTTAGAATTAGCACATATAAATCAGTTTCCACTCAATTGGTAATGTTACTTGATATAATAATATTTACCAAGTTTCAGAATGTTCTAAGCTTAAAGCTTATTACTAGAATTTACTTGAATTTTAAATATACATAATAAAAATAATAAAGAAACCAAGGGAGGTTAAAAGATATCAATGGACTTTTCAGTGAAGTCTGAATAGTCATTCAGTATATTGTGATCTGATGACCATTTTGTGTGGATGTATTTTATTTGGATAGTCACCAGAGGACTTGTGAAGCCTTATTTTGGACTCCACACCATCTATTGTGTTCACGATGATTACAACTTTATTAATTAATTTCTGTTCAGTACAATATCTCAATGGCATGTATCTAAATTTGAAATTTTGAATTAGGATGTGAATTTTTTATGCTGTAATATAGTTTGATTATTATAATGTTGGTAGTTTGTTTACTCTTAATTGTCAGTAACTATATTCCTTTACTTCACATACACAATTGACTTAACTTGAGAATGAGAGCACAATTTCAATTCCCAATATTGATTAAAAAGAAAATTTTCTTCTAGAGCAGTAACAAAATTTTCCTTTGTCTTATCCTCATATCATCTTGTGTCTTTAACCTTTAACCCATAGTGTCACTTCCAAACATACCCATGGCATGGTTTTTAATTATCTAGTAAAAAAAAAGTCAAATATAAAACTAGATTTTTGTTTTGGAATATTGGTAGTTTCAATTTTAATACAATTACTTGTTGTGCTTAAAGTTGGATAAAATAAATTTATGTTAAATGTCATTAATTTATTATTTATATTATTGTAATTCTATGACAAGGCATCAAATTAGATATAAAATTTCAAACTGGAATAAATTTGTTCAGTTATCATTTCACCCATGCACTGATTGTTGTTTTTGTTAGCTTTCTTTGTCAAAAATATCATTTTATATTCCAATAATCTCAACCTTAAGAAGTGGTTAAACACACACAAAATGTATTTTGTTGTCAGCTTATATAGGAATTTTATGATTCCTGAAGTCCAAAGCAGGATTACAGGTGTAAAAATAATATATATAGTCGAGTCCACATAAGTCGTCATAGGTATAACTAGACACCGTCAGTTAATTTAATTAATTAAGTAGTCAATTTTCTGTTGTCCCAGCTGACTTACATAGGTATTAATGTTAAAAAAAAAACTCTGGTTTACTCGACACTGTTTAACTCGTCACCACTGGATAAATCAACATACTTTTTCTGTCCCACACTTGTTTAGACGTCGGATAAGTCGACTCCCCTCCTGAAAAAATGAATTCACACCATGCAGCTTAACACCATACCAGAATCCAATTTTGCTTTTTCTCACCATTCATTCATGCATTATTTGCAGAAAGTGTTTCACATTTCTGTTAGAAATGAGTATCCAAAACACTTACACTTAAGGAAAAATAGGAATTTTATCTGAATTTGAATGTAATAAAACTTTACAAGCCGAATTTGCAAACCAAGAAAGCCTTCCAAGAACAACATTGGTGGGAATTCTGAAGAAAAAAAGAGGAAATTAAATTAAGAAACCTTTTCTTGGGTCTTCATTGCACTGACTCAAAAACGCCAGAGAAATTCATTGTACAAAGATGTCAAAGATGCTCTGGTACATTGGTTAGAGCAAATCTGTTCATCGAATCTTCCTGTTTTGGGGCCAATACTAAAACAAAGAGTAATGGAAATTAATGAAATACTTGGAATAGAAACGAACTTTAGTGTCAGTGACGGGTGGTCAGAGAGATATATTGCATGTACTGTATAAAGCACTACTGTATTTTCCTAATTGTGGTTTTTTTCAACTTCGTTTTAGTCGTTATATCGGATAACTCGACATATTTCCGCTTCCCCTTGGGGTCTTGACTATATATATATATATATATATAGTCAAGTCAAGTCCACATGTATGTGTACGTGTGTGTGTACTTCCTGCTTTGAAATTGAGGAATCACAGAATATGTTAACATATATTTTATGAATCACAAAAAATTTATATATATATGTTAATTTATAAGTATATCAGAAACTTTATTATCCATTTGTTTGTTTGAATCTTTTTGTTCTGTTTGAGTTAACTGAAGATGTCTATCTGCTAAGCTAGAGATGGTAAACTGTGACATGTCAGAATTTACTTGGTACACACAATTTCATTTATTTTTTACTTTGTAAATTTCAATTCCTCTTGATTTAAAATAGGTTTTATAAGGTTTTATTGGTATTATATTTTAATAAAGTTTTATATTCACTTCAGTTTATCATTGCTTTCTTGAGCAGTTTTCTTTTTAAAATTTATTAAAATATATTTCCTTCTATCTTTACAAACAGTTGTAATTCTAAGCATGTTGGAAATTTTAGCACAGTTCTATGATTGAAATTATTAATAAATCATTTCAATCGTGTAGAACCATGCAAAATATAAAATTATAATATAAAAATTTTTCATACTCTATTTTTAATAACTTCACCATCCCATATTACATCATCTTCCCATTGTAGCTGATTCACCATCAAATAATTTTCAAGAGGTATATCATCAATTATTTCTTCATCATAGTCGTCATCCTGGCAAAAGAAATTATTAAATCTTTTATAATGAAAAGTATTATAGCAAAGCAGAAATTTGAACATTTATAAAATACGAGATCTCTTTTCTAGAATTTCATATTCAAAAACCAACTGCAAAAATTCCAAATAATTTAATGAATTGAAAATAATTTTTATTTCTCCATCCAAGACCAAAACAAAAATATAATTCTATGTACATTTATATTATTTATGATTTTCATTTCTTTTAATAAGAACCTTTAAAAAATAAACTTTGTTTTTATTATAATGATCTTCAACAAATTTTTAACATTTTAAAAAGGAATTCTCAAATTTTAATAAGTAAATCACAAAGATAATTCATGGAATAGTTTCAATTTACATTAACTACTGATAATTTTTAATAAATATTATAAATTATTGTAGGGGGTGGGTAGACTTTTATAAGATAAGGGCTACCTATTTTATATTCTAAGACACATGGTCACCTAACAACTAAAAAAAAAAGTCAGCCTTAATGATAAATTACAAATAATGTATTTATTATTAGAAAATATCAAAATATAAGAAACTGTTAATATGAAATAATTTAAATTAATTAATGCAGATTTTGATGAGGCAGTGAATAAAAACAGAAAAAAAAAAGACCACCACCAAAATTTGAAATCTTACAGGCAGTCACTCCAAAATTCCATCATGGTCCATCAGTTGATCATGATCGACATCTCATCCATGCCTGAATTATTGTGTAAAGACCAAATTTTGATTACAATCAAATAAATTATCAGAACTCAACAGATAATGTACAGTACATATAGTCAATGTCGAGTTTTGAATGCCTCACTTTGCAAACAATTTGGTTTACGAACAAAATTTTGAACACCATATTTGACCCAGTTGCCATCGTGGGATTCACAATACTCTATCAAGATAATTGTGAATGTGAAAGATTACCATGTGGAATGAAGACAAAAGGAGTCCAACTTAACACTAAGTTTACATACAGATATGATGTCAATATATAAATATATACAAGAATTTACAAAGTTGTTCACAGGAAACATTCACGGTCACTTACAACTATACAAATGAGTTCGTACAATTTTCTTTATACAATGCCAGTCCCTTTGGCAAATCAAAACGCGTCTCACAAAAAAAAAAAAAAAAAAAAAAAAACTAATTCTCAGTTCAAGTTCCTTTCCAACAATTGATTGAAACCCAACAAATGTTCCAATCCTCTAGTTGAAATTTCTGTTGACGTAAACTGATTACTTCAATACTAGTCAGATCTCACATGCCTGTCTAGATACCAACTTCACTTCACAACCTATTTTCTCCGGACACCTGCACAAACCAAGACAAAACCATCTAAAAACCCCTGTAGCCAACCTGCAACTCTTTTTATACACATTTCCCTTCATCAAAGTGCTGCCAACTCTTTATAAAAAAATTACATATAACCCAAAACCTGACTATTACTGCTGAAACAGCACACCATACAATAACTCAGTTGCTGAACAAGATTCTCAGCAAGAGCTGGCCACAAATTAGAAAGAGACAGATGGTCAAACTCCATATACTTCCTGTGTTAAAAAAGTCAATGGCCCAACTAATTAATGATGGGACTACTGATTCAGGAATCAGTGGCACTAAGTTCATACATATCACATCATTAGATGTCATGACAGAAACCATCAATAACATTGTTATTCAAATTAATTTCAATGCGCATGTGGGTAAGATACTAGTTTCATTTTTTGGTATGCATTGCAATTGAACTTAAATCAAATTAATTAATAAAAACTGCATTAATTGACATTCACATAATATAATTGCTATCCACAAATCTGTGTTTAAAGAATGTTAACTCAAATTAAATAACAAAAATTTATTTAATATAATGTCATATATTATAATATTAATATTTAATTTAATATTTATTGATATTAGGTAGCCAGTTAATTAAACTAAAAATAATAAAATAATTAAAACTCTGGATTTTACACCAAAACTGAAACTAAAATTAAAAAATTAATTTTAATTAATTAATTAATTAATTTTGATTTTAAGTTTAAATCAAAGTAATTGAAACATAATAACTTGGAAAGTGTGGATAAAGTACTTGTTTGTCTTGACTGATTTGGTTATATTTCATCCAGGCAGAGTGAGTTTCTATTTATAAAGTGATGATTTGATTAGTGGCTACAAAACATTTTGCTTTTAATATAAAATGGATATAGATAATATATTGCATTTGTAGGCATTTTTATGCATGAAATACAGCTAAAAAGGTAAAAAAAGGTTCTGTTTTGGGATTTGGAAATGGATTAATCCATTTTATATTGTTTTTTATAGAAAAATTTGTTTCAGTTTGAGAACAAATTGGTTTTTGAACAACTTTTTGAAATGAACTAAGTTCAAAACAGAGGTTTGACTGTATGTAAATGTGTGTTACAAGTATCTTCAAAAAGTATTTAAATCAAAAGTTGTGTGTGTAAGTAAAAAGTAAAAAGTGAACTAAAATTGAGATTTTCAAGGTGGTAACTGACAGAAGTTTCTCAGGTTGTTAGTTTGTAGCAGTTTCCACCAGAAAGTCACCAGATTTCAATTTTTAGATTTTGTTCAGAGTAATAAAAAAAATCTCAATTAACTTGTGAATGAGTAATGGGAGTGTGTGTTCCCAAGGATCTGTCACTGATAGAATGCAAAGTGAGAAAATGAGGTTGAACTACCATCATGATAATAGTAGTAATGTTTCAGTATAGGTCTTTTTATTATTAGAGTCCCCCAAAAGAAAATTTTCTGCTCCTGATGATACTATCCACCAAGCCCAACATAGTAATGCCATCCAGTATACTTCAGTGATACTGATACCAACTGATGCACCTTGGTTTTCCAGGAGCTATACCAATCTTAAAACAGGCAAGACAGCAATTGTCCCTCCATGTCTGCCTCCTGAACTATGTTGTTCAATTGATTCTGAACCAAGGTTAGGGATGACATCAACCCGACAAGTGACCCAAATGGAGCTTGGTTTGATTCTCCCATTTATCTGAAGTAGAGGCCAGAAGTAGTGTTTTGGGCTTTTTTTTTCACTTCCCAGGTTTCTTTTTCCGGTTTCCGGTTCCCCTGCATGGCAAAGTCCACTACCAAGGTAACAAGGATGAACTAGACACCAAAGGACTAGGACTGGACAAGCACAATGTGTTTTTTGGGATGTGGAGACACCACTTTCTATACAGCTGTCAAAACAGTTGTCCTATGTGAGGCTGATTATTCAAAATTTGTGAGGTTATGTTAGCTATACCTTATAGTTAGTAGGTTTTTAATGTTTCTTATTTTAGGTCCAATAANAGTCATTATAATGAATTTAGCAAATGCTGATGTGACCATATCATATATAATCAATCATTCTTTTAGCAAACCATCAATCTGAATTGAATAATTGAATGATAGTGATTCAAAGTTTTATCTTTTGTCTATGTTATGTTCATTCATGCAATGTAAAAAACAAGTAGGACAGCCTCCAAACGGTCAAGATAACTTGACAGAGATGCAGTAAAGATCATGGCTTTTGAGTCCAGAAGAAAAATATGAATATACGCAATCACACATACATTTATAGTTATTTAATATTCATTTATATTTACCAGAGTTTGTAAGCAACTATAATAAGCAAAATTACATACAATTTGATTTAATTAGAAATAAATTACCTTTAAATTAAATCCATAATTGCATTTTTTGCTATTAGCAGGAATATTTAACAAATTAAACCAATATTCTGCTGCACCAAAACGCCATGAGGAAATTGATTCAGAATCTGGCACAACGAAAGTTTCATCTATCTGAATTTGTACTTCTTTTTCTGATTGACAGAACTTTTCCTGTTGAAAGAATATTTTCATAATTTATTTACTTTTCCAAATATTTACAAAGAAAATGATATAAGAAAAGTAATAAATCAAATTTAAAGGGGACATACCATTTTATATCAAAATCACTTTAAATTTTGTTTACTATTGTATATTATATATTTAAAATTTACATAAATAACTAGTATAAAAGATAATATTTTGAATAAGTGATAAATGTGGGAATTCAGATAAATGGGTAACGATTATTTCCTGATAGTTGTCTACAATGCATAGCATAGCATGCAAAGGATAATCATTAGTGGTACAAGGAGTGTCTTGTGACGTACATTTGGTTAATATTGTTTACTTCAAAACATTGTCATGTCTAGAAAGTAGTGTCAAGTTTTTCAGACTGTGCATAATTGAAAAACTGCTAAACTAAACTTCTTTAGAATATATAAATTTTCAGGAAAGTTACAAGTAATGCAATTATCTCCATTCAATAACTACAAATGATGCAGTAAATACTATAAAACTAATATAACTTAGAGCAATGATAAGCAACCTTTTCCAATTCAGGCCATAAGGAAACTTCGTAGGGTTCTAATGGTCCACATACATTTTTTTCTGCAGAGTTGCAGGCTTAATTTGCTGAGTATCAACATACACAAGGTACTAAAATATTAGCATATATTACTTAATACAGTTGCTCTCCCACTTATAAACAGCTTAGGTTCCTGAGGTTTTACTGTAAGTTGAAATGTTCATATGTCAAAAGTAGAACCCAGAAAGTACATTTGTACATAGAATAACCATTTATGTTAGTGTTTGATCCTTCAATGTACTTAACAGAATACATTACACTTGTTTACTTGCTCACTACTGCTTAGTAGTGGGGTGTTTCAAATGTGATTTTCTTCACTTAATGCACTTACTTTTATAATATCAAGTTTCTAATATAATACGGTGACACTTTTTGCATTAATCTCCGTTGCTAGATGTACTATTACGTTTTGGATATATTTTTGAAGCACTAATCATAAAGGTTTATAAAAATTGCAAACAATAGCAAAAAATGTCATTACTCCATCTTTAACCAACTTCAATATCACCTCACAAGTGGCAATGGAACCTCAGAATTTGCATGAAAACGAAAAATGATATGCAATAGAAATAATTCCACATTAATAATTAAAAATTTATTATTTATTACTGGCCAAAAATTGATTTCAACATTACCCCATGAGTGGAAAAAAAATTTAAATCTGTGCAAAATTTAAAATTTAGATGCATGGTAGAATTGTACTGTAAGTCTAAGTTGAACGTTGTAGTAAGGAAGCTTCTGTATATGCTAATGATATGCAAACTAGTAATAACTTATGTAGTTTATTCCCATTTTTTCACTGGAATTTTCAAACTAAAGTTGACTTTGTGACAAATATCAGCTTAATTAATGTTGCATCAAAGGCACAAGGCAGAAAACAAAAAAATTACTTTGGCAAAGTTCCATTTGTTGCTTTGTGGGCTGCAGGTTGTTCATGACTGACTCAGAGTGAGCTTCAGCCACAATAATGACATCTAGTATAAAAAAATATAATAAATCTAATTATTGATAAACCATTAAATCAATCATAATCAGCTTTTCATAAGAATTATGTAAAAGTAAATCATGTTAGTCATTATAATGAATTTAGCAAATGCTGATGTGACCATATCATATATAATCAATCATTCTTTTAGCAAACCATCAATCTGAATTGAATAATTGAATGATAGTGATTCAAAGTTTTATCTTTTGTCTATGTTGTGTTCATTCATGCAATGTAAAAAACAAGTAGGACAGCCTCCAAACGGTCAAGATAACTTGACAGAGATGCAGTAAAGATCATGGCTTTTGAGTCCAGAAGAAAAATATGAATATACGCAATCACACATACATTTATAGTTATTTAATATTCATTTATATTTACCAGAGTTTGTAAGCAACTATAATAAGCAAAATTACATACAATTTGATTTAATTAGAAATAAATTACCTTTAAATTAAATCCATAATTGCATTTTTTGCTATTAGCAGGAATATTTAACAAATTAAACCAATATTCTGCTGCACCAAAACGCCATGAGGAAATTGATTCAGAATCTGGCACAACGAAAGTTTCATCTATCTGAATTTGTACTTCTTTTTCTGATTGACAGAACTTTTCCTGTTGAAAGAATATTTTCATAATTTATTTACTTTTCCAAATATTTACAAAGAAAATGATATAAGAAAAGTAATAAATCAAATTTAAAGGGGACATACCATTTTATATCAAAATCACTTTAAATTTTGTTTACTATTGTATATTATATATTTAAAATTTACATAAATAACTAGTATAAAAGATAATAAATATTAAAACTATTAAATACTTTTTAAAATTTTAAAACATTTACTCAATTTATGTGAAGAAATTTTGTAAATTTCAACAGTATTTCTTTTATATTCTTATAAAGTACATTCAAAATAAAAATAATAATAATATAATCTTACATTTTAAATTGATAATATCTCTGCATATACAAATAGTATGTATTGATATATACAGGTTTGAATATACTATTTGAAATTCATACATAACAAACTGCAATTTATTTACTTATACACTTCAACTCCATTACAGTACAAAATTCAAAATAATGAAATTATATCATGAACCTGATTTAATAATATGGTCTTACTGATAGATAATGATTGTATTATAGATATCATTTAATGGATGTTAGTTTTCATTTGTGTTATCTGTATATTTCTAATCTAAATAATCCTTATTTCATCAATTCATAACTTATTTGGAATTCTAGTGTTATTGATGGACATTATCATTGTTTGCTTACAAAACAATGCTAGAGAAAGTAGGAAATTGTGAATGTAAATAAAAATGTAACAAAAATAACCTCTCAAAATCATATCTTTTTATTGCAGCTTCAAATTTTTTACAGTAGTTGTAGTCAAACTTAAATCCATTACAAAGCAATTTTCCCTTTTTATAATGTTGCAACTCTAATACTATGTGGTTTCAGATTTATTGCAATTTGGACTCTTGGACCTAGTGTTGCCACCTTTTCAAAATCACTGACCCGGATGGCAGGTCAGGTTTGTTCGAACAGAAGTTCCTGATGCATGCGCAATGCCATTTTGAAATGCGAAGAATAATGTACTAAAGCAGTTACAGTTATGGACTAGGAAGACTTGGATAGGAGTAGCGTAAGTAACCTAAATTAAGAAAGAAGTACAGATGACTTAGCTCTATTGGATATGTGTACCAATCGTACAAGCAGGAAAAAAAAAAAAAAAATCAACAGGTTGAGCACGAAATTCCCGGACAAAATTGACAGTTCACCCGGACAGTGAGTCAATTCCCGGACTGTCCGGGTGAAAACTGGACAGGTGGTAACACTACTTGGACCCCAACCATCAAATTGTAATGGAATTAAAGTGTACATCATTAATAATATGAAACTTACTTCTTCGTCACTCTCGATTAACAAATTTTCTTCAACTACTTTTAACTGATGTTTTTCAATACCTCGTTTTGAATTTCTCTTTCTTACACCACCCCAGATATTTGGCACATTTTTTTTACTTGGTTTATAATAATCGGATATAGTCATTGTCTGAAAAAAAAAAACAAAAAAACAAAAAAACAAAAAAAGGCAAAACATTATTACGTTTTTCTTTCAGTTCACATTTACTTCATTTTTAAAAACTTAAAATAATTTTCCTTTTTAATATTATACAACTTTTTTAAAAGAGTATTTCTAGTAAACAACCAATTTTCTGCCTGACTGAATTTTTAACACTGATATGTTGATTTTATAATTTTTTGAATCTTTTAAAACTATGACAATCATTAAATATTAATTTAAAAAAAACTGTTTATATTTTGGGATTTTCTAAACTACTACCTCTAAAAGTTTACAAAAATATATAGTTTTTAAATCTTTTTGATGGTCAAGTCACAATATTGGAATAATTATTGACAATAATGACATTATTAGCTAAACTTTTCTGTATTGGTAGTAGCAACCTGAATTAGTGTAGTTTTCTGCATTCCAAATATAAATAATTAACTTATTAACTTTAATAAATACAGTAAAGATTTTAAATTATAAATTAACGATTATAATTTATTAAATAACTCATAAATTAGTATAATTTAAAATCTTAACATGTTTATTAAACAAACATAATTTTTGTACACGAATTTTATGGTTAATTTCTTAAGTATACTTCTATTTCCATCAATTTACACTATATTAATTATACAAAAGTGGATTTATATATAGAAACCTCTTTATGAAACTAAACCAACAGCAATTTTTATTGGCATATTACCACTTTCTAATAAAATAAAATTTATTTCATCAAAATATGTACAAATTCAATAATAGATTGGCATGGTCTTAAAACAGAAAAAAAATCAATTTTTCATAATGGTATTTTAAAATAAATTAGAGATTTAATATAAATTCACTTAAATGGTAAAAATGACAGTTTTTAGAATATATTGAACAAATAAATCTATTGGTAGAGTAGATAATGCTTATAATTCTCATGTAAATGTGAATTCTCATGTCAGTGGTGGCATTCAGTTAGTTTGTGCCAGTTTGGCAGACTTGCTTCCTAATATATTTTTAGTTTGCTAAACTGGTTGTTAAAACTGTACTTTTAATATTAATTTAGGCAATTTATTGCAAATATCTGCATTTACATAATACTGCCAATTTTTTTTAACATTTTAAGACAGAATGAAACAAAGCAAAAAAGAAGTACTTATTGCCCTATTGCATAGTCTAAGTGAGAACATTGATAGGAGCTCAGTTGAGCATCTATCAATGCTCATCAATTGAGCTCAACTGATCTACATCCAACTATCAAAACTAAGCATCTGATGTTTTCTGCTTAACTCTTTTGTACAAGTGATAAGCTGTAGACAAACATCTGTTTTTGGATCCGGGCACTGCAGTACAAATATTCTTCGAGATAAAAGCATTGAAAATTGGTAGTTGGTTGAGAGTTTGCACCTAACCAACAGGCTGGTTGTGTAGAATTTTGATTTTATTCATATGTCTAATATCTAAATATTGATCAGTTTTC